TAGGGATGAAGAGGCGGGGATTCACTGTAAAAGCGGTGACAGACACGAAGCACTTTCAAATCACTCAAGTCGTATATCAAATGCAGTGGCTACTGTACTGAGCTACGTGACGGTACTGGATGAAGAAAAGGTCCCCGCCCTCCATTATGATTTAGGTAACAGAGAGGAGGTGTGAAATTCGGAATAAGCGAAATATTCACTGCTGCCACCAATTAACATCAGCACCGATGAACACACTTTCCTTCTTCGTTAATTCGAAACCCTTCAAGAAGTGGGAGCTGGATCACCAAGACCCAACCATCTTGCCACTCTGATAGAGCACAAGTTGTCACCAACTGTGTTTCTTCCAGTTCCTTATCTCCACTTCTTTTTCATCAAATGTGACATCTGCTTGTGTGACGTGTAAGGTCAGTTATGAAACGTGGTGTTTGGCAACCCCTTGGCGCAGCTAGCGCCCTAGTTAAGATACTACAAATAAGGTGGCCCTTTGTTTGAATGACTCGTATTTCTCCTTCCTCTTCTCCGGACATTTGCGCTTTCATTTGGACTTCCACCTCCAGTCAGTGCATTTAAATGTGTTCACCTCTTTCACCACCTACATCCCAAAGCCAGTGCGAATGTCAAGGACTGAATAGGACGAAGTGACTACTACCAGTAGGTCAGTAGAGTAGTGCCTCTACTCATTGAAAGTTGTTGAATCTCTAGGAGAAATTTCAAAACGGGAAGAGATGCTGCCAAAGGAAATTGGTGGAACGATGGTTTTGATGAAATGTATGGTACTGATCAGAGCTTATTCTGTCTTCGGTGATTTGACCTCCAAGACAGTGTTATGAAGCTCGTCTACTCCTTTGTTTCATGACGTTTTCGGAGGTGAAATGGTATCAGTCGGTCGGCCATATTTGACCGACGAGATTTCACAGCCATCACAGCCACGTTCTCGTAGATAGTCGGAAACAGTGGATGCTGTCGAGGCAGTTTAGACATAGATTTGGAGCCCATGACCCCTCGCTGAATAAAATCCGGTGTTTACTGAGGCCGATCAAACGAGCATGTGTGGTGTCTGGTGAGGCGAGGGAGTGGCCACGCAGTGAAGAAAAGGCTCAACACAGCATGCTACGTTGGTCAGTGATTGGGTAGCAAGAGGATTTCTTCTGGCTAAGGACTCTCAACCACTCGTGAGGCTGGTGATGGTCATGCGGGAGACAAGCAAGAGCTGAATCAAAGTCAGTAGATGATAAAAAATGCCAAGTTGAAGGTCATTAGTAAAGTAGGGAAGCAGTAAATTCATAGGAGGAGATCGGTTAACCACATAGGCTCGTATTTGTGGGTCAGTCATACCACCAGCCATCAAACGCTTTGAAATCCGGTCGGCAGATGGTACCACACGTCCATATCATACCGCATGTCATATCCATGGCTACCTAATCAAAGGGATTCGTAAGTCCACCACAAAGCACAAATCTCCATATCGAATAGGCAACGCAAATTTCTACACAGCAGCCATGGTAAATGCCGCCCCAACAGTACACTTAACACTCACCTCTCCGTTCATCTACTCTAGCACCTTGAGATAGAGCGAATGCAATCCCATCAGAGGAAAGAATATGTCCAACAGAATGGGAGAATTTTTATCCTGATGCGCTGAGTCACTACACTATATTTGACAGGAATCCCGACGAGAACGACATACTCTTCAGTCTCGGGACGTCCAGAAACAGCGAAATTAATGACTTCTTTTCAGCTCGTCTCGTTAAAGTAAATCCATCTAGTTGGGCAAGGCCTTTTATCCATCTAACATCATTGCTGATGGAAGCGTCAGTTCCCGAAGCGGTGTGTCAGAGCTGCAAGTTACTTCCAAACTCTTTGCCAAGATCACTTGACCACACACTTTGACGGCAGCTGTCAAGACCAATTGAAGGTGGTTTTAAAGAAGGAGAGTTCATCGTTCACTTCTCCTATTTGGTGTGATTGAAGTGCTGAGTTGTGTCCGCTAAGGTGGATATCGTGCGCTCTGAGGTCACTTGTAAAATACCACTCTTGATAATCATGGAAGTATCACTTAATTGTAGAGATTTGGGCCTATGAATTCCTCAACGTAGGAACTGAAAAGCATTCAAGTGTTGCACAATGTCAAGACAGAAGGCTGGTTGACAACAAAAACCCCTTCGCTGTCTGATCCTTGCCTAATTTCGACCCCACTTAGTTTCAACACCAGTTGAAAGGTTTGAAGCAGATCCCTCCCTATCTCTTCACTTTTTCAGCCAATGACAGAGGAGAGGTGGGATGGAGTAGATAGTGGATATAAGAAGTGATGCTGAGGGGCTGGTGAATCGGTCGGCCGCCACTACCTGCCACCGTCGCCACCTCCATCACTCTATCCGTTGCCGTCTGTTTGGCGATTTCCTACTCGTTCACCTCTCAGGTGGTGCTTCTCCACCTGGACGACGCCAAGTTCAAAGTGGTACAGCCTTTCACCATCATTCGTGCACTCGGGGATAAAAACAATCAGAATGCTCACTTAATCAAGGAATGTGAGGAGTTGCTTATACAGCGTAAAGCTGCTGCGCTACTCATCCGCTCTACAAATTATCAGGACTAAGTAGACACACCGCGTGTCAATTCCTGCACTCCTGGCACAGTCGAATACGCCGTTTGCGAAGTGATCAGACAGACTCCAGAGTAAAAAATTCGACAAGGGTTTACATCCATCATATTTGGGGGTAATCAAAAGCTCCTTATAAGTTAAAGGGAGAATTCAGGAAATTCGTGAACCATGAGGCTGGAAAATGAGTCAACTGAAGGATGTGAGGGGGATAATGCAGCTGTGTTCACCTCGTAGATCTTCAGGCGCCACGAAAGGATTTGAACTATTTCTTTTGCACTACACAGCGACATAATCACAGGTAGATTAGGATCGGAAATTGAAAATAAATTTTGGTAAAGACACGTTAACTCCCCTTTCGTGGATCGTTGGGAAACGATAAACCTGTCTAGGTCGTTCGAGTCTGGTATCGCTTCGGCAACTAACAGCCTTCCTGTAGAACACGGGATCGCAGTAAAAGCCAATTCTTATACCTCTACTAGGTGTCCTCGCAGATTCAGCCATGCGTGAGAGATGTCTCCTCCCGCCACAGAAATCCCTGTGAGTGGAACCCACTTGCCGCTGTTTCATCGTATAGGCAAAAGAAAAATAGTACAGAGAAGAAAAATTTGATGCCCCTTTTAGCGGAGACACATTGACGTGTAGCCATACCCTCATCCATCCGCCTG